TATATGACCACGTATATATATAATTAACCCACTTGATATGCCTATTTTTTTTGATTGTTGTTTTTCCACCCGGCGCGTATATTCCTATTCAGTAAGCAGCTGAATAATTACTTTAATATTTTTCGATTGTTTTTTTTTGCGATCCGTGTCGTAATACTGCGCCACTTGGCTAAAACTCTTTTTTTTCCATTTTTATTGGAACAATTCTCTTCTCGGATTTTAGATTTTGGTTTGAGCTCTGGGGCAGCCAAGCCTTAACCACCTATTGTAGATTTTTAATTCGGTTTGGATTTGACCTTAAGCGTCACGTTTTTTGCTATTCCTGATTGCATTTGTCTCACCACTGAACACTCGGTAGATGGAACAGCAACTTAGGCAAACACGCAGTGCTTCAGTTAGGGGTAGCGGCGCAAAGTCAAGAGGGGCCGGGAGGAATACTAGTCCCGCTATGCCAGCAACTAATCCTCTGGTGATGCATTCACCTATTGCTGACCATACGGGAGGTGTTCCGCCACGAATTCCGATGGCCAATCCCGCTCCGGGACTTAAAGTTGATAGCCGTCAAAGTTCAAATTTACTTGACACCTCACCACCTGGAACTTCGGTCCAGAATGTTTCCGTTACCTCCATGACTATGCTTTCGGGCAGACAGGAAAATGATAGGACTTTGCCAGGGAATACCGGGTTTGGTGCAGGTATTGCAGAAGATAGATGTAGACGTTCTAATGGCGGAGCGCCCGCAGGAGATTCGTGGGTAGGAGTGCTTCATCAGCTCTTACGTACTTCGCAAGAAGAAATGAGAGCTGAAATGAGAACAATGCGGGAAAATATGAACGCATTAAGTGCAGTGGTAACTGCATCTCAAACTGCACCCAATGGCTCTAGGGACTTTGCTTCTATCGGACGCAATCCGACACAAGCCACTTTGAATAACCGACCAAATTTCACCACTAATATTGTCACTAAGCCACAGGATTGGAAGGTATCCTATGACGGCAACGGTAGTGTTTCAGACTTTCTTTTTAAACTCAATACGTTGTGTGAGCGCACGAAATGTACAGATGAGCAGTTGATGGCAAGCTTCCACCTTTTTTTGTCAGCTGAGGAATGGTACTGGTTGTTCACCAAGCAGAACCCAGATGCGACTTATCCTTTCTTGTGCTACTCTATCAGGCGGGAATTCGGCACCCTAAAGAGTGACCATGAGATCATGATGGAGATCTCAATGCGTCGTCAGAAGGCTAATGAATCGTATGATACGTTTCATACAGCCTTGAACGCGAGACTAAGGGAACCGATGTCATAGAACCTTCTGATGGACATATTGAAGAGGAACGTTAACAGCAGCCTGAAGTTGATGCTTTTCAATGCTGGCGCGCAGACCCTACATGACCTACGTGACGTTGCTCGGAAAGGCGCACAGATCCTGAAGGAAACCAGGAGCTTGGTACCGAACTATTCAGGACGGCATGTCAACGAAACCATG